TTTAGATAAGTGTCCCTTCATTTGGAAAGACTTTGCCAAACGCGGATACAACACTGGCTTTTCGGAGGATGAGATTGGAATTGGAATTTTTTAGCCTAAACTGGAAAAAGCCTTTCGTGAAACCACCCACAGATTTTTACATCCGTCCATTTTCTTCCTACATGGAAACGAACCTTGTAAGTCGGAGTATAAGAATTGAGCCACCTTTCCATTTTTTGGTACACGTTTAAGCTGATGTCAAAATTAAATTCCTGATGTTACAAATTTTCAGGGGAAAGGTGACGACAACATGTGTTACGGGACTCGCCGCTCTTTCAAAATGTTGTTGGATAACATCGAGAATATCGCAGTTGCTCAAAAAAATCGCCCCTACTTTCACTTCACATGGGCCACAAAACTGTCTCACAACAACTTCAACAAACTTCATCAGGGTGATGGCCCACTACTAGAATTTCTTCAGTTTATGGCCACCAATGGCTATTTAAATCATACAGCTCTCCTCATTCTCGGGGATCATGGTAATAGGTCGCCTACCCAGGCGCAGATGAATCCTGCTGGAAAAGTCGAGGTTCGGATGCCCGTCTTCTACCTCGTGCTTCCCGACTGGTTCAAAGCCAAGTATTCACAACCCTTCAAGAACCTTCAGTACAACGCGGATTCGCTCACCTCCCCTTACGATGTGTACGAAACTCTGAAACTTTTCATGAATTTGAGTCAACTACGAGACACACAGAGTTACAAGAATGCTGATACAATAATAAACGTACGAAAACCAATGAGTTTGTTTCAGAAAATCCCGTTCGACCGTTCATGTCTCGAGGCTGGAGTTTCGCTTCATTGGTGCGTTTGTCGAGGTGCTCGTGATGAACGACCCGCCCCAACCACCACGCCCGAAGTCAGAAACGACGTCACAGCCTCGGTTGACTTTATGAACGTCAAGTTGAAACCTGTAAGCACAAAATGTCACCCTTTGGCCCTGAAGGAAACGGTTTCTGCATACCACATCGATAATAGTGTGATCTCTACTCTCTAGCATATGATTGTATATGAACATTGCTTGCAATTATGTAAATATTTAACAGAATATTGTACTATTAAGGTTGTCACGTTGCTGTCATACTGTCACATACCTGAAAATATCTATTTTTTTAATTTCAAATTTTTACTATTTTCCAAAAGATCTTCAGTGATTAAAACGGGAATAGATCTTATATTCTGATGCATTATGTATGGTTGCACATCCATGCACCTAACCCAAATTGCAAATGTGTCTAGCAAAATTTGACGGAAGTATGGAGTAATGAGTGAATCTTGTGGTGGAGATAATTAATGTAGGGCGATAAATAATGTGAGAACTTGGACTGCTCCTGTGTAATTTTCTCCCCACTTTTTCATTCGCCCTCTTCACCCAACATGGGAAAAAAGGTCCGTTCAGCGTGGTCAAAATCGTCAAAAGTTGACCAAATGTCATTTGTACTCTGAAATTTTGTTACATTGCTAGATTTCATACAATTACAAAATACATCGAACGTATATAGTGGGTTAGCTAGGTCCTGGGAACAGATCCCAAGTATCCCTAGTAAGTACAGGCCGTATTGGTTTCTTGTCCAGTCTGAAGGGTAGGATCACGGTCGAGCCTTTTATATGGAAGAAACTCATTCAAACCTTCAATTTAATCCTATACCGTGTAAGCAGGCTTAGACCTAGACACTACTCCCCAGGCTAAACCAGTACATGTAACCTTTTTAAGTACCTATGAATGGGTTAGTTAGAATTATTGTTTTTTTTGCCATCGTAAAAAAATGCGACCCTTTCAATGACAGAGTTGATACTTGGAAAGTGAGCTCCCCTCGTAAGCCATGCATTATTGCTTCACATTGAATATGAATCGAGGGAAGTAACAAGTACTACATTCTTGATCAAGCCAACTGGTCGTTTGCCCATATTTATGTATAGATTGCAAAAAAATGTTCAACTCTAAATTACTACAATTGTACTTGCGTTTAAATATTTAAATAAGTTTTACATACTTAACAGTGAAATGATTTTAAGGTTTAGAAATTATTAAACAGTTAATCAACTGTTGAACAATACAGGTATATGTAGGGCGAACGTATTTCGGAGTCTATAATAATAAACTTTAAAAATATAATGGACCCAAGTCAACTAAAAAAATACGACTGCCCACATTGCGCGAAAACATTTAAGACAAAACCACATTTAAATAGACACCTCGTCACTCATGAACCTGATGGACAAGTTAAATGCCAGGTTAGTTTTTTCTTCACACTATACATAATCCACTGAACTAGATGTTAACAATTTAAGTATATTTTTCAAAATAATAACACTCCCCAATTGTTAACAGATTTGTGGAAAAATTCTAAAAAATAGAAACTCCATCCCACTCCATCTCTCCTACACCCATGGCAATCAGAAGAAAGTACGTTGTGATATTTGCGGACGAGAGTTTACCTTCATCGGAAATTTGCGGAAACACGTTAAGCTTATTCACAGCACTATCCCACGCGACCGTACATCCTGCCCGTTTGTAGGGTGCGACAAATCATTTCTAAATAAGCGCCATGTCACACGACATTTGAAAATTGTGCATGACGACAGTCCAATCCGATACCCTTGCCCAAATTGTGATAGGAAATTCAAATGTAAGGAATACCTAGGGAAACACATGCAGTCTCACTCCAGGGTTTGGCTACCATGCAGGTTTGTAGGGTGTGAAAAAACATATCTAAGCCAGACCGGTCTTCACATCCATATCAAAATGAAACATGCCGAAAATCCTGTACGATTTCCTTGTCCTCTTTGTGGAAAGGAATTTAGCCTTGAAAAAACCTTACATGACCATATCAACACACATACGACAGAGAAAACCCATAAGTGTCCGACATGTGGGAAGAGCTTCCTTCACAAGAATAACATGATACGACACCAGGTAAGGATCAATAATTAATTTAGTACTATTTTTCATAGCTATTTTGTCGTCCTAATTCTAAAAAGACCCATGATCCATGTACTCTTAATGGAAGATAGGTCTTTGTAAAATTAAGCACACTCTATGAACTGTGGTAATGAATTGAAATGATTCATTACTGTTCGGTGTCTATATATGACTCTACCGCGCTTGGTAATGAAATCAATATTGCTCGGTGTACTTTTGGTAATGAGGTTATACACCGCGCCATATTGAATTTCTACCTACTTGCATTAAATAATTACCGAAATCATTACTGCTGTGTAGTTTATATATGACTCTACCAGTTTCGGATAGTGCATCCATGGAACTTAGGTCTTTTTAGAATTAGGACGACGACTTGCTATCATGTAATTACAAAATTATAAACTAATCTTTCTTTTGCAGGCTACCCACTTGGAAACTGTTGCTCGAAAAAAGTTTCCTTGTCAATTATGTCCTCGCACATTTCTCTCCAGACCTGGCGTTCGGACTCACAAAAAAAATTATCATACCATCAAGAAAAGACATTCGTGTCAGTTATGCCGTTATAAAACCAATTGGTCGGGCAACTTGACGGACCACGTGAAACGTATGCATGAAATTGATTCGAGATCCGTGGAATGCTATTTTTGTGGGCATAAGTTTTTTCATTTTAGTGAATTGGTCAAGCACAGTAAAAGGCATACTTTAGAGCTCGGTAATCCTCTTTTACCACAAAATATTACATAGTGCAGACAAAAAAGGTGGCAAGAAATCCTAACTGAAAGAAATGACTAAGTACATATCTCTACCAAGTTGGTATTAATTTTATGTCAAAATGGTACGAATACTTCGCGCCGAATTCATATTTACTACTACATATGTTTGTAGTACATACAGAAATTATTTCCTTATCAACTTGTTTTCTTTTCTGTATACTTAGAATTATGTGTTATTTGTAACCAAGATATTAATATATAAAAAACATGTAACTAATTTGTGTGTTGATGTCGTGTTTTTCTATCTGCTCTTTTGTAAACGCGAGAACAAGTTCTTGATAGGGAAAGATTTTTTTATGGTGGTATCGGATGTATCCATTTCGCATACATATATCTGTTTATACATTTTCGTAGTAAACAGTGACTTACACCTGGTACCCCTTGGTAGAAAAAATACAAAATGTGATATCTCAAAAATTACTGGACAGATCTTCCCAAATTATTTAACACATCTTCTCTAATATGTAGTGGACCCACCAATGTTACTTAGAATAGAATTAATTCGCTTGGAGACTGACGGTATCAGGTTATTTAATACCTGCACCAATAGCGATTTTCACTTTTTTTGAAACCTTTAGATTCAGTGGTGGTTGGTTCAAGTATTTTATATGTCGCATCCTTGAGAATAGATTAAAAATTCTCCATTAGGTTGAGGTCCTGGATAGTATTAAGCTACACCCCCGTCCACGACATGCGAGACCTTGTACTTTTATAAACTAGCCAACCGGTCATGAAAGGATGGTGTGTGGCACCATCTTGTGGAAGGGTGATTTTTCTTTGTGATCGAAATAAAGCTTTGTCATGCAGGGATAAGACGCACATATGTAGAATTTTGTACTTGGAATATCCTTTTTTTTACCGGCTTGCTTTGCAGGACATAAGGTGGTGTGACCCAATGAGTACAAATCCAGCAGCCACCCAAGTTTTGATGCCATGTTTTGGAGTTCCGACTTCCGCCAAATTTCCTTCCTTCTCTGTATAATATCTCTTATTATGTCTATTGTCTGTGGGGTACAGCTAAACCAATAACCCACCCGTAAACAGCACCTGGGATCCTTTTTGTTGCCCACTATTTCCAGCATGCAAAAATCCTCCTTTTTTGAGATTTCTTCAAATCGCTAGCGGTTTGTGAGGTTGTATTGGCTTCGTTATGTATGTAGAAGCATATGTAGAAGCATTACAATAATTATAAATTCCTGAATAATAATAAAACGATTTTAATATTTTGCTCTTGATTTGTTCTATAATTCTTTGATTATATGATTTTAAGATATTGTGATCTTATTATTTTTAAATTTTGAGATTGTTAGACTTTGAGATTTTGGGATTATAAGATGTTGGGAATTTGAGATTTAACGAATGTGTCAACGGTGACTCGTCTCCCTACATATTCATCCTCTACAAATACAAATGCATGTGCCCATATATCCACATACTATGTACAGTCAATTCATAACCTGGACACACTTATGAAGCAGAACGGCGTTGTTCGTGTTTGTTGCCGTATATCACTCTTTATCATTGGTGTGATAAGATAAACAGCAATTTAAGTGTTAAGTAAATATAAGCGACAGTGCATATTATCTACTTCGGATATAACCAAACCGAAACTTTTTTCGTTAACTTGTTCACGTTCTTGTTAATAAATAATTGTGAAAAAAGACACGTTAGAATATCATCAGACTATCACAGTTACAATTAATCAATTTAAAATTAACGTCATACATAAATACCTTATGGGTTGATGCATGTAAATAAGATTGAAATCAAAATTGATTAATTCTGGTTAGAAAAATACAATCTGTAACATTAGCAAAATAAATAAGTTCATACCCACACACTACGATATGCGTGTAGATCTTGTTTAAGACTGGTATCTTTAAAATACCCGTATACTTATTGTTATTTTTTAAATGACAACAATTATGTGTAGCTTTTAACTATACAATAAAGATTTCAGTGTCTACGACCATCAATCAATAAGTACATACATACATCACTTACATAATAATCAACAATTTACAACACCGCCATGTTAAAATCACGACGAGCCAGGATTCTAACGAGTGTCGTCATTCTGTCCATATTTTACTACCTCGCCTCCTTTTACGGTCATTGGGGTAAACGCCACTGCCTAACCTTCTGGAACGAACATATCACACCCCACATGTTCTCTGCGTGGCGACTAACTTGCAACCTCGATGAGGAAAAGTCCAGGCTAGCTGATATTTACTTACATACAATTGTGTCTTAATAGAATTTGGTTTTAAGAATTTCTAATTGTTTGATACTAAACCAATTTCAGATTGGAATCTTTTCTAATTCGAGGAAAAAATATATATCGTCCATTACTTAATGCAAATAAGGCTAAACCAACTGTCGAATTACTATCAAATCTTGTAACTCATCAAATTGACGCCATACAACAGAAACCATGTGACCAGCCCAATTTCGTTTGTGGACATCGCGACAGTAAGGCAGCATTTGTCCCGAGTAAAATATCTATACGTATATGAATAAATAATTTCATACAGGTTGCGGACTAGCGTGCCAACTTCACCATAGGATTGGCTGCCTTTTAATTTCTTACGTAACAAGTATGCCACTAATTCATACCGTGGAGAGTGACAATTGGCTATATTCGAACAAATGGAGTGACGCCTTTATCCCGATGGGATCAAATTGTACTCCGTGGAAAAATACGTTTCGATGGGATTGGCTTCCGGATGAGAAACCTTGTAAAGTTCTGTTATATGTGCACTCAAAAAAACGTAATAAAGTTATTATTGTTTGAAGTGACCATATGACTCTACGGCGTTCGTAAAAATTTGTCTCAAAAACAGTAATAACAATTGCAATAAAGAACTAAATTTATTATAATAAAGTAAGGAAATGAATATCATCAAGTAACGAATTTCAAGTTCGCTGCAATTATTATTACTGTTTTTGAGACAGGTTTTTACCAACGCAGTAGGGTCATATAGTCATTCCAAACAGTAATAAATTATTACCACGTTTTTTTGAGTGTCGATACTCTACATAATTTATTTTCCCTACATCTATCGAAATCTGATAAATGTAGTGTCAAAGTGTCACAATGTCCTGCTTGACCACGCCGGGACAGCAATTCCATACCCACTCACCGGGGGAATTCCTATATCTCCAGAATTCCAATATATACTCGACTCTGTCAAAGACCAAATTCCTGACCCCTTTATCTGGATGATTGGCCAGTTTGCCAAACATGCGATGAGATTAAACCAAACGCTTGAGCAGGAAATAATACGATGGAAGAAAGAGATAGGATTCTACCCAGAACACGGAACAATTGTGGGGTAATAAATTTATTTTCCGTTCTCATATCATATATGCGTACGTATCTCAAAATTATTACGATGTTGGAATAATGCAATTTTTTTCTCTAGCCTACAAATCAGACGGACCGATAAGACTGAGGAAGATTCCGACACGCTGCACGATCTACAAGAATACTTCACGCATGCTGAGACATATTTTAGAAAACTGGAAACATCTGCAGATCTCGGGGGGGGGGATATCGCTCCCCAGAGTTGCTTACATTTCATCGGATGATACCACCGTCTTGTATGAGGCCAGAAGAAGGTTAGGTGTCAACTATCGCACAAAATTATCTGGTCAGTTTGACGTATTTAAAATGATAATTTTAATTATGGCCTAAGGTATCCTTCCTGGACAATTGTGGGATTTGAGTCCACCCTCTCGGAATCCTTGACTAATAGGAAGCACGGCCTTTTCGAAATCGTCCGAGATATCGTTCTACTTTCCCAGTGCGAATACATAGTTTGTGGATTATTATCAAATGTAATGTTTGCCTTAACAACTATTTACCACATGTACATCTGCAGTAATTCTTTCACCAAAATTATAATACGATATTGCTTTATAATCTTCAGGTGTGTCGACTCTTGTACGAAATTCAGGCCGTTCAAGATTTCCGGTACGATGGTCCACATCTTAAATCGTTAGATGGCACTTACAGTTTCTTATTGCAAGGAAGGCATACCATGGCGAGAGAAAATATGAAGGTTTGGACTGTAAGCGACAAATTTGAGGGGATATGTATGTAGTTGGATGTCAAGTATAGCGGTGCGTAGGTATATGATACATATATATGTAATCAAATTATTGAAATATATATGATATTCTGCACAAGAAGTCTTAATTTATTGAGATAGACTTATTGCCGTCTGTGGTTGCATGTAAATAGAAAAGATTTAACGCCATGAGGTATACACGGGCAAAAATATCTTTTAATAAACTTCTGTCATGTGTGATTGAGCTTTATTTATGCATTTAAAAAAATATCCAATCAGTCAACATTTTCGTGTCAAATCGTCATACTAATTCTGTAACAACCTAAGTGCAGTCGATGCTTAATAACGAAACAAGCTAAGTGAAGTTCTTTTACAATATGAAACTGAATGGTCTCGTTTCTTCCATACCCCCAACTGTTTAACAAAATCAGTGACACGGTTTCATTAATGCAGAAATTTTCAATAACCAAAGGCGTCCCCTTATCTAGACTTTGACGCTTGTGATACATAAATTTGTCACTGGTGATGATAAATTTAACACCTTAGGTTATAACATCGTCACCAGCGGTGATAAAGTTTATAACCTTTGTGGTAGGGTCGTCGTATGCGTTTAAATGTGGGAATCATCATTAAAGGATTTCTGTAAGTGTATTAAAAATTTCGAGATTCATACATTTTCCAGGCATTTTGACAACATTTTCCATGCGTACTTTACGCTTCCGGACACCAACCCTGTAAATTTACATATGTAGCATTTGTGGGTTACAAATACGTTTTCACATCTCCTCCCAAAATTATTAAAGAATTAAAAGAGCTGAAATCAAAATTTAATTAATTAGTTAATCAATCAAATTATAAAATTTTGTTTCTTGGCTAATTACTAATTCATTCCGACGGCTGTGTCAAAGGTAAATTGGCCAACTTACCTCGGAAATTTTGGAAGGTCTTCAACATTTAAAATTTCATGTAACTGATAGCATTAAATTTTGAGATATTATAAAGCCGGGAAGGATTCCGTAATAGCATTGCCTATGATTTTGAGAGCTTTACTTCCAGGTTCCCAGCCACAATCGGTCTCCAGTTTTCTTAATTTTGGGAAAACCACGCCACTAAGTGGAGAAAGCTCATAGCCAGGAGTGCATCGAAATTTTAGTTCAACTAAAGATGGAGCTGACGTGAGTAATATTCTGTCACGTAATTTCTTCTCCCACTCTAGATTTTTGTTTGTAGTTATCCCGATAGAAACTGATCTTATGTTTCTGACAAATGGAAAGACTTCCAGACCCGTTAGCGGCATATTCAATGAATGAGTTTCTGAAATTTCCAGAAGAATATTGACCGGGCTGAAAATCAGTCTTTCTGCAATATCTCTCCATCTCATTTGTTCTCCTTTAAAATGATCACCATCCCTGGAATCCTCTGGATGCAGCTGCAAGACCAACTCCTCTTTAGGACGAAGGTTGCTTCATAATTCCACAATTGGGATACGAGTCGACACTGCTTGATTTCTCTGATCCAAAGGTATTTGCAAAGATGTTGGATTACCTACATACACATGTACAAAGTCTGAATCAACGAAAATAAACTCAGTTAAGACACCCAAAATGAAATTTATAGCCGGGCAGTGCTTTTACCTCTCAGTGAGAAATTAATATACAAAATTCAGAGTTAATTTAAGAAAATCAGAATGCGTAAATCCCAAATGCCAATTTATCAGGTTTCACTTCTCATACCGTAAATGAACATGCTGTTGTCGTTTCTTCTAAATATTTATCTGTTCTAGACAATAGCGTAAATATGTGTTATATAAGTTAATTCAGTTTAATATATTGAGATATCGTTAAATCAAGATTTAAATAAATAAGCCCAGAATCGCTTGGTGTGAATAAAACTGGCAAATTTTAAAGTAATTTTTAATCTAGCTGACAAAATCTTACATCTTCAATCAGCATCAGTGCTGAAAAGATTATCTTAACATGTTTATCTCTATTTTATCTTTATTTACAATACACAATTATTTGAAATGTTGAATAATCGAATCCCTCGCATTGAGGAAAACCTTCAACAACCTCTCGTATATACATGGCTTTATGTGCTACTTTGTCACCATCTTTCTTTCAATCTTTCAAAATGTCAACTTCCTTCACCCAGTCTTAGTAATGGTCGAAAATTCGAGATATCATTTAAATCTGTCACATCAGCTATTGGACATTTATTTGGTAACTTTGAATACCCTATGATGGTATGTTCGCCAATTACTCACTCAAGATCCGTTTTTTTTCGGATTTTTCGGATGACAACGGATTATCCGTTGTCCCACATAATTATATTTCTACGAAATAATCACGTATTAATACTTGCAAGTATTTTCTTTCTTCATTTTTCAAGTTGCACATTACCCGACTGGGACCTTCTATCCTGTCCGCTTTTGCCTATATTTTTAGGACCCGTATGATCTAACCCGAAATAAAATATTACCTAATAATATGTTCACTTCAATTTTACCAAAAATACTAAGGATAATACCGAGAAAGCGCATACATACAAATCTTTAGGTGAGAGTAAACTTTTGACGCGCTGAAATGAACGGTCGAAATCCGTTATGGGGTTAACGAGATTTGACCATATCCTCTTGTGAGAGCAAACTTTTGTCACGGAGTGTATTATGCATGTAAATATATTCCTACCTTGGTATTTGCATGTATTTGCTTGGTACGTACATACACCATTGTATTTATCTCCGAGTTTTAATGGGTTTGGGTTTTAATGGGTTTTAAGGGTAGTAAATGAGTAAACCCCACTGGGTTTTACTATGTAACATAGTCATAACATATGTTAGATGGGCTTATTCGGGAGATTTTAATTATATTTTTCGTTAAATCATATTCCAAAACTTAAATACATCTATCGAATGTTACATGACATTATTTCACTCCGGTTAGAAAGTTTATTAAACAAGAATTGAAACAAAAATTTTTTATAATAAAAAAAAATTACATAATTTCTTGCCATCACAAATTTCAGGCGACGCAAAAAAAAATTATATGGTTGGGAGTGTATTTGCAGTAGTTGCGACCTTTACTCTTGCGTATACTACGAAAAACTCAATAAACCCATCAAAACCCGTGGGTTGTTAATTTTTGATAAAAACCTTTTCCGAACCCTACTCCGTACTCTAGTTTGAGTCATGCAAACATTATATTTACATGATTAAATTTTTGACTTGTATAAGCCTTTATGTGTAATTACTTATGTAAGTCTAATCTATTTTACTTTTACACAAGATTTTTCTAATACAGACATATGCATATGTACTCCTTGTAGCTACGTGTGTGCCCATAGTCTTCAACCTTTTAACTAATCATGTCTACCATTCCTACCTGTTTAACTACCTTGGGGTTTTGCTCGGAAATATATTTCCTTCCCCCACACGTAGTTTATCCCCAGAATGATATCGATCCACAAAAATACTTCAATGTACCCCTGCTCGTGACTACGCTATCATTTGCTTATCACCGATTTGATGCAAATGATACGCACCCCATCTGGAAACATTCCTGCAGCTCGACAACCTTATATGTCGATCATAGTGCGACCTACAGTCCGTTAGTTAACCACATAGTCTCAAAGCTTATACAAAACTCAAATACCATCCTAATCATACAAGCTCGGAAAGACGACCATCCCAGCAACTCCAGTTACTTCAAAAACTTTTGCAATTTATTCTACCATCACGCCAGAAACATGTCAATAATTCGGCCACAATACAATATAGTCCCGTGTAAATTTCCTCCTCCAGATAGAGCCCTCTTATTTAGTCCGACTGCAGGTGAGGCGCACGACATCAAAAATCCAGCCTGCACATCTCAAGATTTCTACAGGTATCGCCCCTTTACCTGCTTCACGACACACATCAATTTAGAAATTGTAAGAAGAAAGATGAACATTTCGTTCGACGCAGTTGACCATCCCGTACCAGTTCAGGAGCATGGGGAAGATTTTAATGCGTCAATAGGCCTCCATATTTGTGCAGTTTGCCACCCAACAGATTTCTTGGAGGAGCTCGACGAACACAATCCACTCTTCTACATCGCCAACTCGAGACTTATAATAATAATAATGAACTTATAATATTGTTTATTGCTTTATTAAACCAACATACGAACCGGCCTCGTTGTCCATGTTGACAGCACCGTTGATGGCTCAAGTATGGTTTCTCTTTATTCTATGTGTGACCCTAGTTTGGATCCTAAGTAAGCGATTAGATGGGCAGGTTTCACTTGCGAAGATATTCATATTTCAAGCCAGAAGTAATAGGTCTTTTATAATTGCATTGTTTTCCTTTTTGTATGTTCAATTAAGTATCTTATATCAGGATAGGATATCATCCGACGTAATTTCCCCACCTCAGGAGAAACCGATAAGATTAGTAGAGGATTTTTTCGAGTTGAGAAGATATAAAATTTTTACTCGTTTTGAGGCTGAGTCTAGTTTTGTTGAACACGGGTACCGCATTCCTCACAAATATAGGAACACAGCGATTGAAGCAAATCCAAAGATATTTCAGGAAATATGGAAGAACGGAAGTGAAGACACGTTCATACTGTTTTCCAGGTTGGCGTTACATAATGGTTTCGCACCTACCTTTGATCTTTCAAAATTTCCAGAGGTTATGCATGGAGAGGTACAGATAAGGTGTGATGTGTATTCAATTATTGAATGTAGATAGTATATACCTGGCTTGTTTGATTTTTGGTTCTGGATAAACTTTCAGATTCCAGAAGATAACCTGTTTGAGTGTTAAAGAACCAGTGTTCATTGATATAACATTGTGGACCTTACGTCTACAATTGGCAAGACAAGCTCGGAGGTACTTGGACCACTTGACTAGTTTCGGGATATCCGTATGGTGGAAGGATTACTTGGATCGACTCAGGCTGAAAGCCATACTTGAGACTAAAATTAGGAAAGATAACCTAACAAGGGCACAATTTTTACCGGGTCTAAGCCAACCGATACCTCTCGTATTGGACTCAAAGCCAACCATAATTTTTCTTGCGTACATTTCCCTAATTATTTGTGCCTCGTTTAATTGTTTTGTCGAATATTGCATGCATTATGGATAACATTTGTAAGTTAGGTTAGCTAAAACTGGGTTAAAACAATGTATACGTGGAAAATGCAAATGCAGGCCATGCTAAGCTTTTATGTCAGTTTATATATTATTTTGACACTTGCATAATGCTATGACA